TAGTGCTCTGTGAAAAGGAGTGAGTGAGCAAGTCATGTTATCAGGTACTAGGCATAGCACAGAGGCAGAAAGACATGCAGCATGCATCTACACGTGCAATTAATTCAGAGTATGAGACTGGATGGGTTATTTCCCAAATTTCTGGCTGGGTTATTTCTGCGCAGAAAATTCAGACTCATTAAAGTGCTCCCTGGTGCACATCTACATGTGTGCCCCTATTGGGAGCAAACTGAGCCCGACAGGAGCAGCCCAGTTCAGCCCTGCTCTGGCCCCCTTGCAGCAGCCAAGGGGAGCCCCACGCTGGCAGGGGGCACGGGGGCTTAGCCCTGAGCTCCTCCAGCGGGGAGCTATCCTGGCTTGGCGGGTAGGTCCATCCCAGCGGTGCGGGGGAGGCTGGGTTGATCACGGGGGAACCTGACTTGGACTTCCCACCTTTTCAGTGTTGCCAGGTCCCCAATAATACAGCACTCCCCAGGATATTGGTGTTGCTCTTAAAACACCAACTCCTGGGGTTGTGCAACAACATGGACATCAAGGCTTTCATTTAAAAGAAAGTGAGTTCCCAGCTCACAGAGACAAGTGACGTGCAGCCCCAAAAGGCTCAGAAACAAGAAAGTAAATGAAAAGAAGCCAATTATTTTATGATACCTTTTAAGCTAATCTCAGAAATGTTTGGCCTGGCTCGTTGGCTATTTTATGCTTGGAGTTGTCAGCACCGAGCACTGTGTAATGCTTCCCTTCTGGGAAGAAGACAATTATAGGAAGTTATGGGCTGGGTTGCAATTTGTAGTCCCCAAGTATAAAATGTTCAGATGTGCCTACATGACTTCAGTGCCAGTCCAAAGTGACTTAGGCATGGAGGAAACAATAACTCATTTAGAGCCAGTGCGATGCTGGCTCTCAAGTCTCTTTGGAAAGCAGGACTTAGGCTACAAAGTCCTTAGGCTTGTTTGAACTTGGCTCAGAAGAGGTCTCTGTAAGCCATGGGTGAGGGAGCGTTTGATCCAGAGAAGACATGTGTCTGTCCTCACTGTGTGCCTGATCCAGAGAAGATGTGAGTTGTGATAGCCCCTGCCTCAGAGCAACACCCACTGCTCAAACCAGAACAGCTCTGGAGGCCACTGTTCCTCCCTCGACATGTCTGTCAAGAGGGTGGCCTTCACCTCTCCTGTTCAGCGACGCTAAGATGTGATGTTCCTTATAGGTTCTAGCAGGACTTTCACTCTGAAATGGTAGACTCTCTCAAGGTTCATCAAAAAAACCCCTATCGACCGTGCCTCTTCAACCCAAGCTGCAGAGACTCGTGCTTTCAGGTCTCAGGAGTTGACCAGCATGGCATGGCAGCACAGTGGCCCATGCTGGATGAAGAGACACTGTGGCTGCTGACAGCTTTCCAACCCCCTGCTCTCAGCTTTGCATCTTCTTTCTCTGAGAGCACAAGAAGAGATTTCTCTTTTGCCCTGGGACAGATGTTCCTATCCCGGGCGCGTTACTGGATCCTTTCTGAGAGGGAGCTGCCTGCCACCAGACCCTTGTATTTACTGAATGTGTTTACAATTAAACAAAATGTCAAAGCGTCTGTGACCATAAGAATAGACTTGAGTCAGTCGCAGGGCAGCGAGGGGTTGAAGGTCAGAATGTTGTTTACTTTAATTTCTTTGAGAGCTTTTTGGGAGATTTTTTTTTCCACCCCCCTCTCGCTTTATTAAATTCAGATGAGCCGTTCGGGGAGGTTAGGTCGCATGTGGTTCAGGGTTTGGGGTGGTTTTTTTTTTTTTTAATCATTTTGCTTTTAACTCTTCCCAGGCTGGCTCCCCGTGGTGTTCGTTTGCATGGGGGCGGGTTGGATGGAGCCCTCTGCCAGGACAGTGGCCAGCCTCCCGTTGGCGGGGCAAAGCTGGAGGTAGCATGAAGACCCGAGTGCCTGTTGCCTGGCCAGGGAAGGGCCCACTCTGGCCCAGTAGGTTGATGCTAATGCAGCGGCTTGGGGTTAAAGGCAATGGAAGAGCCATGGACCACAATGCTAAGCCAAGCCATGGGCTGGGACTGAGGGGAACCAGCAGAGGGGCATGGGGGAAGGGAGCCAGGTTCTGCATTAGGTAGAAATTCTGCATTGCTGAATAATCATAAACTTTGGAGGCAGCAGTGACCCTAGGACACCCCAGTTATGAGGAGCAGAGAAGAAAAGGGTTCCCATGTCCACCCCAAGACTCAGCATTGTTCTTGGCCGCCTGCTCCCCGGCATGGCCACGGGCATGGGGTAGTGAGGGTTGTGAGGTCAGCATGTCCCTGTAGGGGTAAAAAAAAAAAAAAAGAAAAGAGAGAGAAAAAGAATGTGGAAATCTCCCAAATAAAAGTTTCATTTCCTTCAAGTGCCTGCAGATCCCAGCGCAGATGCGCCCGCGCCCTCCCCCCAACGCTGTATGCACAACAATGCTAGCTGGCTTCATTTGCTATGCACCGGCCTTTCCAGAAATGCCAAGGCCTCTTGCTTACTTACTTTTCCAGGCTCTCAAGCCTCCTCCTTTTGGTGCTTGCTGTTGCCTCTAGAAGGGAGCCATGTTCTGGCCACTGCAGGTGGGAGGGGGTGGCTTGCAGACCCCTAATTCTCTGCCCATCCTCACTCCCCTTTTTGGGTCTCTCGTGCTTTCTAAAATATCATGGGATGGGCCTGACTGGCACCGACTCACACCTTTCCTTTGTAGACATGGGTCTTTGGGTAGATGTGATATCTGTTATTAGACCAACTACATAGTTGGGAAAATTGTTCTTCGCAAGCTTTTGGGCACAAACACCCTGCTCCAGACCTAGGGAGGGTCTGTTGGTGTTTGTGGGCTCTCCTGGCATCTGTGGGCCTTCCCTTTGTGGAATCTCTGCTGCTCCTTAAAACACCCTGATTGCAAGAAGGGCAAGGACGCATGCAATTGCTAGCTGCATGTCCCCGACTCTCCTAGGCTCAGTCCCGTTCCCTCCACACTGACACCTCTTGCTTGGACAGGAACCTGCTCCTCCAGCATCCGTGCGCTTCTCAGCTCTCTAGGATTCCCAGACTTGTCTGGCTACCAGGTGCCACACTGGCTCCATCTCATCTGGACAGAATCAAAACTGGCCTATATGCTAATGGGTACCAGAACTGCCTGATGGGGAAGTTTTGTGACGTGTCCTGGGGAAGCTCCTTGTTTCTGGGTAGAGATACCCTTAGTGTGTAGGGAGTGTGCAGAGAGGTGGAGACAGACAGGACAGCTCAGTCAGCCAGTCAGTCTAGATAGATGCTGGGGGGCTGGCATCAGCTTGGCCCTGCATACCTGGCCGGCTCTGCTCACATGTACTGTCAGGTGCTGGAGTTGCCAGGCCTCGGAGGAGGCATCCAAGGTATCTGGAGAACAGGTGATAAAGGAGCCTGCATTCGTGTGCAGTCACAGAGCCAGGACCAGGGGACATCTCTATACACAAAGTAGGAAGCCCAGTCCTGGTGTAGCAGAGGGGTCTGAGGACTGGGTCTGAGCGGGACTGGGTGTGGGAAGTTTGCCCAGGTCCTTCCAGCCTTGTCCAAGCCTCCAGCAAATGCTACTGCACCCCCTCCCTCGCAGTGGAGAGGGCAGGCGTGTGCCTCGTCCAAGAGGCTGTGGTCTTCTCATGCCTCACATATTCCCCCTTCTGCAAAGCTGGCTGGTGCCACACGCAGGGCCAGCCCTTCCCTGAAACCCAGCGCTGCGACACAGCGGCTGCACTGCGTGCCTTTTGCGTGTTGTATTCGCCCCTAACTCATCCAGCATGTGGGATGCTTTGAACTTCCTTATTCATCCTTCCTGAAAGAAAAGGTTAGGAACCAGCAGCAGAATCTCGTGACACGGAGCCGACGTCATGGGGGTGCTGGAGCTGATTTCGAGGGCTTGTGCTGGGACCAATTTTGTTCAAAGCCTGTGGCACGGTGCCTGGGTTAATGGGAAACACGGCATATGAGAAGCAGGTGGCAGGCTATTTGCATGAAGGCTGGGTCAAGTTTGGGACGGAGGAGGCTGGGACCTGGTTTTAGCCTCAGCAGCATGGACTTGGAAGGACTGCTTTTAAGATAACTTGCCTCTGCGCTTGTAAACCTCTGTGATCTGGCAAACTACAGGCTGTGGGACACGCTGGGATGTGAGAGACCTGGGCTCTATGCCCAGCTCTGACAGGCAGCAAGGGCCTGGACAATTCAACCACATCCTTCTGCCTTGCTTTCCACTCCCACCTCCTTGCCTGCCTTGCCTGTCATGGTGGAGGCCGGTTCAGGCTGCGGTAGAGATTTCACATTAGCAGCACCTGGACAAAACGTGGCAGATGAGCTGGTTAGTGGTTTGGGGTGGAAGATGGGCTGGTGCAAAGAGAAAAACAAGAGCTCCAAAGTTGTCAGATTTTGAACGTGTCTGTGGAGCGGACCGCTGTGCGGCGGGCTTGTGTTTTCACAAGAAACATGGCAGACTCTGCTTCATATTTCACCAGGGGTGCTCAGCATCTCTGGGAATCAGGCCAGGGGTCTCTCACTGTGGGCACCCAAAAAGTCAAGGCACGTACAATATAATGCTGCTCTTGAATGCTTGGGGCTAGATCAATTGCTCTAGGTCTTCCAATGACGTGGAGGTACTGCTACATGAAAAGCCCAGGGGGCAAAGGAGGGAACCGGGAGAAGAGCCCAGGAGTCCAGTCTCAGCCCTTCGCGGGAACTAGAGGCTGGGGTCGGGTCATCCCTAGACCGGTTCTGGACTTGCCATAACCCCCCAGTCAAACCCCGCGCGGCGTGTTGCATTTATCTCCTCCAGAACATCTCGCTCTGGGAAGCCAGCTCATTAGATTTGCTGCTCAGGGTCTTCTAAATAATTTTCAATTTCCTGTAAGGATAGTTTTTAATTTATTTCTGACGTCAGGAGTAGGAGGGGGGAGAAGGCAATTCTAAAATTCAGCATTAAGCCCGTGTCCTCCTCCTCCTCCCCGCCCAGTGCGTCCTCCTTCCTCTGAGAAAAATCAGCACGTTGCATTTTACACCCCCTTCCTCCCCACGACCCAAAGTCTCCCTGCTTTTCTGGCTTCCTGGCCAGCAACTCAGATTCCTAGATGCTCTCTGTTGCTGAAGAGAGATGGCTACCGCAGCAAGATTTGGAGGCTCCGTCTAGACTCCACCTCCTCCTCCCAGAGGGTGAAATTAGGGAACAATGGCAGCTCTGGATCCAACATCAACAAAGGAGAGGGGCTTTGATCTGAAAAGCAAAACGATTTGTTTTTGTAGCAGATGCACAAATGAATTCCATGCTCTTTGCTGCGTTCTGTTGCGTGCAGCGTTTGGGGCTGGATTAGCGCCGTTTCTCTGCGTGGTTCGGGCTGTGATCATGTTCTCTGTGGATTTTAGCCACGGTGGGCTCTCAGCCTGCTCCCCAGTCGGGGAAATGGCCGCATCACAGAAAACGGCATGGTTGTCAGCAGCTGGGGACATGTTTAGCAGCAAGGCAAGGGAACAGAAAGAGGCTTGTGGCTGGGGCTTGGGAGATCTGGATTCAGGTCTTGGCTCTGCCACAGACTCCCTGTGCAACCTTGGGCAAGTCACTTGATCTCCCCTTGCCTCTGCTCTCCCTTTGTGCTGGATACTAGAGTCCAGTGTGGAAGGCAATGATAAAGTAGTAGTTAGGGGTCCCTGCTCATTCACCCGGCTGTGTGACTTCGGATGAGTCATTTCACTGTTCTGTGTGTCCTTCTTCCTCATCTTTAATCCATCATATCTTTGGAGACTGAGTTCTTTGTATGTATACAGCACCTTGCAAAACGTGGCTCAGCTGGGCTTTTTCGGGGCCAGTTAGGGGCCTTGGAAATGTAACTGCCCTCTTGCTGTCTGGGAACAAGAAGAGGTACTTAGGCTGGCGAAGGGCAGGCTGCTTCATTGATAAATAGGGCATTATTTCCTATTGCTCTTGATCCATTTATTTTTTACAACAGCATGCATGAAAATTGTCCTGCCACACAGCTGATTTCTAACCAGGAAAGCTCGTTTCAGGGGAGCTAGCACCAGATGTGGATGAGTGTATGGTTTAACTCTGGGTAGGTCTATGGGTTTTAGGGAGAATGTTTTTCAATGGAACAGGATTATTTTATTTTCAGATGGCAAATACCACTCTGGTCTGAATTAGGATTAGATAATCCCCTGGTTTCTGTGGGGAAAGGGAAACTCTTGTCTGACCCATTAATCACATAGTCCTGAACAGGCAAAACAGCTGCAAAGTTTCTGCATGCTTCACTTCTTAAATAAGTGAATAAATCGAGGTTTGCAAAGTCACCAATATCCTTGAAATAGAACAAGTAAGATGCTGGGGCTTTTTCTATATCTATGTTAAACCAAGCCAAGGCATACCACTTTCTAAAACAGGCCTGGAAGTGTCCACACCAACCTGCCCAGGGTGACATATAGAGTAGAGAGCAATCAAACTGTGGGAGAGGAGCAGGTGCCTTTCCTGTGAGAGCTGAAGGAGGGCTGGCTTCAATGAATTCCTCAGTAAAAAGAAAATTTTAGGGGAAAAAAAGTCATGTTTCAGGTTGACATTTTCAAAATGAAAATTCCCTTTTTTCCCATTCCAGATGATCGTTTACATCAGCCTCTAAACCAATCACAGTAAAAGAACCCAAACTTTATAAATGTTTAACATGGAAACAAAATGGTTTGGGTCAATTCAAGCTCTTTTTAATTGTTCATTTGCAAATAAATAAATACCTAAGGATGGGGATTTTGACTTTTTTGTTAGGATTTTGGGATGGGAAACATTTTCCTGGGACAGGAATACCATTTTAATACCCCAACCCCCTGTGTATAATCATAAACCCACCCATCACAGAGAGCCCATACTCATGCTTTGGTTGCAGCTCAGTTCAACAATGAAGAATAAGGTAACAGAGGATTCAAACCTTCTCTCCCAAGCTGAGCTACCTGTATGGTTCGTCCCTCATGTCTGCTCTCATCACGACCGAGGTCCATCTTACAGACAGAGCCCCTCTGTTTCCCGACTCACTCATCTTTCTCGCAGCAGGACTGATGCTCCGATCATGATTGCAGGCACACTTAGCTCTGTTGGACTATGCTTAGTGTGCAGCAGGAGCCCCTCTGCCTCCTCAGAACTGAAGGGTAAGTCCCCTATGCGAAGCAGCTGCAGGTGGGACATACAGGTGTAGAAAGCTGCCAGTTTTCACTGTTTGCAGAGAAATACAGCACTGTGTGAATGCTGATTAGAGCAGAGATCTGCTGCTGCAACTGGCTATGCTGCGGTGCAGCTAAGTTCTTTGAGCCCTATAGCCGTCCCTTTATCATTTACAGTTGTTGTTACTTCTGGGTCTCCGTTCTTGTGGTTGGACTGTGAAACTCATAGAAACATAGAAAATGAGGGTTGGAAGGGACCTCAGGAGGTCACATCTAGTCCAACCCCCTGCTCCAAGCAGGACCAGCCCCAACTAGATCATCCCAGCCAGGGTTTTGTCGAGCCAGGTCTTAAAAACCTCCAAGGATGGAGACTCCACCACCTCTCTGGGTAACCTATTCCAGTGCTTCACCACCCTCCTAGTTAGAAAGTTTTTCCTAATATCCAACCTAAAACTCCCTTGCTGCAACTTGAGACCTTTGCTCCTTGTTCTGTCATCTGCCACGGCTGAGAACAGCCCAGCTCCATCCTCTTGGGAACCACCTTCAGGTAGCTGAAGGCTGCTATTAAATCCCCTCTCCGTTTTCTCTTTTCCAGACAAAATAAGCCCAGTTCCCTCAGCCTCTTCTCATCAGTCATGTGCCCCAGCCCCCTAACCATTTTTGTTGCCCTCTGCTGGACTTTCTCCAATTTGTCCACATCCTTTCTGTAGTGGGGGGCCCAAACTGGACACAATACTCCAGATGTGGCCTCGTCAGTGCTGAATAGAGGGGAATAGTCACTTCCCTCAATCTGTTGGCAGTGCTCTGACTAATGCAGCCCAGGATGCCGTTAGCCTTCTTCACAACAAGGGCACACTGCTGGCTCCTATTCAGTGTCTTGTCCACTGTACCCCCCAGGTCCTTTTCTGTAGAGCTGCTGCTTAGCCAGTCGGTCCCCAGCCTGTACCGGTGCATGGGATTGTTCTGTCCTAAGGGCAGATGTCCCAGGATTGCATCACTGGACCAATGAAAGAAAAGCAGCAGTGCATTCAACCACTCACTAAACCCTGATGAGAGGGGCAATGTGTATACATGCCAGTCCTGTGACTTTTCTTTTCTGGGACAACCAAAGGCACAACTTGTCCCAGGACAAATGCAACATCTGTTTGTAGCCTGTCCGTAACACCAAGGACCCCACTTCAAGGAGTCTTTGTTGTGCCGGGCACCTTAGAAATAGAATAAAAGGCCAGCCCTATCGAGCAGTATTGCTGTGATAGGGTTGTATTGCTGTAGGATTGAGGACATTAGCCAGGGCTGGGACACTCAGGGTGCTTGGTGCTGTACAGAACAAAGACACATTCCCTGCCCCAGAGAGGTAGAAGTGTAAATCAGTATTACAGCTGACTGCTTGGGGCTGGAGCTGAAGGGGGATAAACATAGAAAGGAGGAACACAAACCCTCCTTGTGTTCATGTGAAGCACATTTTCGTCCCCCTGCCATCTCTCCAACCCCCAAGACTCATGTTGCTTAACATGCTGACTTCATCCAAACCATTCAGAACCCCTTACATTTGCTCTTTCCCCTCATCCTGGCATTAAGCCTGACAATGCCCCTTTATGCCCAAAGTGTTTGTGGTGCTTCATGTGACCTTCTTGCTCCAGGCTTTGCATTCATCCCTGCTTGTTTGATGTGCTACTGCTTTTTATTTTAACCTTTGGAGACACCCCCAAGTCCCAGCACAGATGGATAAAAGGTCTATTGAGAAAACTGCCTCCATAGCCCCCTCCCTGCGCTCTACGAGGAGCTGATGGACTGCGAGCTAGGTACCACGGGGGAGTCTGGGTAGCCTAAAGCTCATAGGACTGATCAGGGGGATTGGGAAGGGGTAGGAGGAGGAGCTGTTCTGTTCATGAAAACTTGTCTTCAGTGTGTTGCTGGGTGAGATGCATCCTCATACACATGCCCATACACATGCACACAGGGGGTATCTGCTGGGCTACAGGCTGTGTTTGGGGTTAGACCCCCAGAGACGTTTTGCCAATACCGTCCACTCATTACCCAGTAGCAGGTGGTGGTGCAGGGACATGTCCCTCTTTTTCTTCAGGTTTTAGCAGGTTTCATCACCAGGCAGGTACCCCATAGACTCATGTTGTGCCAAAAGCCAGGACACATTTTGTAGCTTTGCCTCATTGCTTCTCCACTGGAGTTTTTGTGGGACTCTGAATAAATCTGGGATATAGCAGAGAGGCCTCATCGAACTGAGGACTTTCACCTGCCTAAAAGGGTTCTGGGAAGCTTCTCTCACCAGTGCGTGGCCAGCTAAGCAGCGTGATTAAAATCCCAGCCACTGCCTGTTCATCGCAAGCTCCTTACTGTGGTATTTGTAGAGAAAAGAGTGATTCTAGTACACCACTGGTCTTGATGTTACAGCAAAAGTGGTAGGTAAGAGCAGCTTGCAGGTCCCATTAAGCTACATTATTAGGTGGCAAATTCTCTGTCTTTGAAGTCTTCTGAAACCTTTAATTAAGCTAGAAAGATAGTTGGGTTTTCAAGGGAGTGCCCAGGGAGGCTGAGAAAGCTCTTAACCACTAGGGAGATTTAATGATGGGAGTCATACAGCCAATGGGCATCAGCATCGTATCCAGATGTAGCTCTGTGGAGGGCTCTTTAATCTGGAGCTGGGACAGCCTGCCCTGGGACTCAGGGTGCAGACAGAATGACAATTTTTGCCCCATCTGGCCCCTGAAAGTACTCTATAGCCCTGTCCTAACACAAGTGCATGGCTGCAGAACACTTTAAAAGGGCCTGATCCCGCAACAATCTGAACTCTCATTACATGAGGGTTCAGATGAAGGTGCTCCAAAGAGGAGTGCCTTCATTAACTTCTGTCTGTGCATGCTGGGTGCTTTCAGAATGGGGCGGGGGGGAAGAGAGAGTAGAGAGCTCATTTTGGGTGTTGCTTAGTCAGTGCTGGAGGGTAAGGCAGGTGGATTGGATGCCCCCAAGGTTGGGGGATCCGATTCATCCATCCTCTGACTCCAGTGCAGTCTGAGGAAACCCCAGAATGCAACTCCCTCCCCTGCCTTCTCCCTCTCCCAGCCTGAGACAGCACCAGGGGCCAGGAGAGGGGTAGTGGGGCTAGGGGAAGAGGATGCAGAGTTGCAGCTTTTCTCCCTGGATCAGCTCCAAATTGGAGCTTGACCCCCCCTCCCCACTGACCCAACACCTAACCTCTTTTGGGTCAGGAGGGTCGGTCTAACTCATGGCGCTTTCTGTGAAGCACCATGAGTTAGACCAGGAAGCGGCACTTCTGTCTGCACCTTCAGAGATTCTGCACCAGCCCAAGGGACAGGGGAGCTTCACATCCTCTTGCTGACCTCATGTATCCCGGTCGGAGAAGCCACAGACTTCTGTTATAAAGAGGATCAGAGCCAGTCCCATTGCTGGGCTCTCTATTAAAAAGATCCTATGCCCCAGGCCCTGGAAGAAAACATGGCTGTAGTCCAGGACATTCACTGACCAGACACTCTCTGCACAGAGCTTCATGATAAGCCATGGGCAGGGAAATCCTTGATCTTGAAATATTGCCTCAACCCATCACACCCATGGTAGAGGTGAGGGGAGAGGGGCTTCAGATGGGCCAGGTGTCCTACTTGAGAGAAGGCCTGATGCTCTAGTTCAGCTGGACCAGCACCAGCTATAGCAATTTCTAAACAAAGGTCTTGCAATTGCCCTGGTTTCCACTAAACTATCCCCACGTGCTTTGTACTTGGAAGTTACCATCAAGTGTGCGTTCCCAGCAGCAGAGCTTGGCTGCACGGGTGTCTCAGAGCGCGCTGGTACAACCAAGGCTAGGAGGTGAGAGCACCTCGCTTCCTTTCTCTACCTGCACCGCTCCGACTGCTTAGCTCCACACTCCCATCCATTCCTGGGCTCCACGAAAGACAGAGGGACTGACAGGGTCTCACTCCAGAGGCAGGGTTATGACAAGCACACCAGGTGAGCAGTGAATGGAGGGAGGCTGTGGGGATGGATCAGGCTCAAGTTTTGGTCTGGTGAAAAACAAATTGGAGACATGGAACACCGCCCCTGCCACAATTGCACTGCGACTGTTCCTCTGACCCCTTGCACATGCCTGGGGATGCGGGGGTCACATACCACCGACATGCTAGCAAGACTGCTGCCAGGAATATATGTCTGTTTATTCATTCCTTTGTATTGTGGTAATGCCAGGGAAGCAGCTATCACAGACCAGGCCTTCATCATGTGCAGCCCTGTACAAATCCAGGGGGAATCCAGGGCACAATGTATCGGGAATCTGTCCACTTACCAACCAGTCTGATCAGAGCTAAATCTTCCAGAGTGATTTGGTGGCTTTCTGATGCCTCAGATTCCCCGGGGCGACTCTAATGCAGCCTGATTTTCAGAAAATCCTAAGCCACTCTCCCGCAGAAAATCAGCTTCCTTACAACTGCCTCTAGGCAGGCCCTCCAAAGTTGCTGCTGCTGAAGTGTGAGTCGGTGATGTGCCGGACACTCAATGCAGGTTCCTCCGCGCAGTATAAGCATCTCTTTACTTACCGAGGGCTGATCTCCTGGCTGAGTGTTGTTTCCAGGGAAGCTGATTCCATCGCTAGGGAGACAGATCATCTTTTATAGGCTCTGTTAACCACCCCCCCCCCCGCACACACACACATACACACACTCACTTAACAGTGCCGGGCTTGTGCTAAGGTGGCCGTAGGTGCTGCCTTGCATTTCTTGCTGCCTGCTGATCATCCTGTGACAGGGCACTCCCAGCAGTGCCGGTTGCTGTAGGAAGTATGCAGTACATGACGCTTTCCTGCTGCTGGAGTGAGGACTATTTCCGTTCTGTCCAGCTCAGCAGCAGCAACAGCAGCAGCAGCAGCAGCCTGAGAAATCTGCCTTTGCTTTCCCAAGGCCTCCTTGGTAAGTGTGTGCATTACGCGGGGGGGTTGTTTGTATTTGGTACGTGGCAGGAGATAACCTGATGCCAGGGGTTGAAGTCACCTACTTCCCCTTGGTGCCAGGCACAGGGCAAAGAGCACAGCCCCATAGCCACATTTGGACCCCTTTGACAGGGTGTGTGTGGGGGGAGCGGGGGTTTCTACTGCCTTTCCAAGGACCTGAAGCAAACAGCACTTTGCTGTTCTGCTCACACAGATGGTACCAGGACCCCAGCCCCACCTGTCCTTGGCCTGGTGTGTGTGTGTGTGTGTGTGTGTGTGTGAGAGAGAGAGAGAGAGAGAGAGAGTGTGTGCAAGCACATGTGCATGTGTGCATGTGTGCACATATGCATGTGCTTGTTGGGTTTCTGATTTGCAAAGTGTTCGTTGATTTATTTGTAGGGTCCCACAGCATGGACAGGGCTTTTGCTCGGTGCCATCTTAGGGATGTGTGGCGGGTAACTGTTGTACCACACATGCCCTTCCCCTCCCACCCCCCTGGCCCCTGCCCCAAAACACAAAGTTTGGACTTCAGCATGATAAACCCTCCTGCCCCTTCCCCTTCGAATGCCCAAGTGCTGAGCCTGCTACAGCTACATGAGCTGGTACAGGGGACCCTGCCATAACTGAAGATCAAGGTTAGCTCAGTGGCCACATGAGGATGCGCTGGGACAGTGATTCCAACAATCTCATAATCCTGATCGCATCTGTTCTCTCCGTCTCCCGGCAGGGATTACCGTGAGCATTAGAACCCCTTTCCCCTTTGCCTCTGTGTTGCCTTTCCCTTGCATTTTCCTTAAACCATTTGCAGAGCTCACAAGTCTGGGGAGCTGTGTGGTTTTTTCCCCCCAAACTCTAGGCATGCGAGAGAAAGGGGAGGTCCACCCTGCCGGCACGCTGCAAGGCAGAGCTTTGTGATGTTTGTACGGGGACAGCACAACTCTCCCCTGTGGCTCTGGGCACCGTCCGTCACATGCTACCACCACACTGCAGCACATCATGCTGTCTGCTGCTGCTGCTGCTGCTACACACACACACACACACACACACATCTCTGCTTGCCATGGAAACCTCACCATAGCAACCATACTGGAATCCAGGTTTAAAGGGACAGGGTCATGGGGTGCAGCACAGGTGAGAGTGTGATCCCGTTCAAGTAGCCCTGAAAACACTGGGCCTCCTCCTCCTGCTGGGACCAGTCCTACACCAGTGTAGCTCCATTCTGTTAAGTGCAACTAATCCTGGTCTACACTGGGGGAGAGGGGAAGAGGATCAGGATCATGGTCCGTATGCTGCAGTCATCCTGCAATGAGGGTCCATCCCCTGTAGCAGGAGGCTGGGGCATACACTTGGTCCTGTTGCTGCTGCAGTGGCTGAGCTGCAGGCCATAGCTGAGCTGTAGCCCTCTTGTAAAGCAGGTACCTGGGGAGCTGAGCTAGGGCTTTGCCTCTGAGGGCACAGGCCTCTCTTCCCTGAGGCCAGTGGGGGCACTTGCAGTTGGCTGCAGCTGGTCCTCAGTCCCAGAGAGGCCTGTCACTCACACAGGCCCACGAAGCCAGCCCGTGACACCCCACGCTTCACCCCAGCTCCACTCTCTGCTCCTCTTTCTCCCTCCTGGGATTGCTCCTGCACTGGCAGCTTCAAGGATTGGATTCTGTTTCCTTCTAGCTTTGCCCCTTCATCTTGCCTTGTGTTTCAAGCACCCTTACCTCTTGCCCTGTAGGCATTCCTTCCAACATTTAGGGATATCCAGACCTAGATCCAGACTCACCCCCTGCCTGTGTCCAGTCCAAATCCTGGCTTCCAAACACCTATAAACTCTGGGTATTTGCAGCTTGAGCCTGGAGTGACATCTCTGTGGCACTTTTCTTGCTGATTAAATAGCTTTTAGTGCATTTCCTCTCACAGCACTCCTATGCAGCACAGCAGTACTATTCCCCCCTACCCATTTCACTGGCTCACAGGGGCTAGAAGACTCACCCAAGGTCTGTGGTAGGGAAGTGGTTGACCCCACTTCTCCCAAATTGCAGCGCAGTGCCTTAAATCAATGGACTGATACAGAGAAAACTCTCCCAATTGCTTTAGCAAACACCCACTTTTGTGAATCCTCCACATCTGATCTGTCAGGGGAGTTGCCATCCAAGATATATTGGTTATTACCTCACTGAGGAATGGCAAAGGTAAAACAACTAATGCTGGTTTTGGGTAGCCTGCTAAAAATCTCAGTCCTGCTTAGGCAGGGCTGGCCAGGGAAACTTCCCCAAGTTACAGCCCGTGCAGTAAACACTCCCCATCAACACTGGTATTATTCCCACTCAACCACTAACTTTTGCATGGAAAAAAGGGGTAGCTAAGCAGTCTGGTCTCCTGGGGAGGGAATCTTGTTCTCCTGGGTTTTCCTGCATGTGATTTCTAGCACTAAGCTTGCCTCCATCTCTATTCATAACCCTGGTAGGAATTCTAGTTTGACTTTTTTTTTCCACTAGTTCCAGTTTGCAACTAGGTTTTGTAAAGAAGGAGCAGGCCTACTGGTGGTATTGGCATCCTTGAAAAGTCAGAGACCAATGGAAAGCTGCACATATCTATTAAAATAATCCAATGGGATTTAATAGGCTTTCCACTGGGGAAGGTGAACAGACATTAAAAGAAGTAACCAAAAGTGTCTCAAATTTACACAGGTTCCCTTCATGCGCCTCACCAACAGGGACAAAGTTTAAATGGTTTCCCACTGTTTCCCACAGCTTTTTTCTTGCAGCCTACAGTGTTTTGCACAGCTGACTTCATGCTCCTGGCTTGGTTGGTGCAGGGAAGAGATCCTGTGTGATAATGCCTATTTAGGCCCATTAATCCAGACTGAGCATTGCTCCTTATCAGCCAGACGTGCCCCTTTGCGGGGTGGGATCACGCACGTCATTCGGAGTGTCGCTGTCCCTTCAGCACCTTCATCGAGCAGCTGTGGAGCCGGCGTCCATAGCTCATGCTCCCTGGGCAAAGCGTGTTTCACCACACAAAACCCCATGTTGGGACACATGGGATTTAAGCCACTGTCTTCTCTTAAGTCCTCATGGCCATCTCCTTAGGCAGTGGAGCTATACCAAGGATTGGTGCCCAGGTGTTCAGGCTACTGACGTTCCCGACAAGAAGTTTTGTCTGGCTCCATTTCCACCTTTCTCATCCCGTTAGATGGGTAATAGGAGCTCACTTTGCCACTAGGTACAGTCTGCCATTCCAGCTCACAAAACCAGAGCAAGAGGTGGCCCAGGCTTCAAGCAAGCCACATAACCTGAAAGGCGATTAAAAAAAAAAGGATGGAGATAGACTTTTCTTTGTGGCTATAGGGGATGGGACTAGGAGCAACAGACTTACATTGCAGCAGAGGAAAATGAGGCTGGAGATTAGGAGGAACTTTCTGGTTATGAGGGTGGTTAATCATTGGAACAGGCTGCCTAATGAAGTTGTGGTATTTCTATCCCTGGAAATTTTCAAGAGCAGGTTACACTGACCCTGGGCTGGTACGGTTTACTGAAGGATGATCCTACTCTGAACAGGGAGCTGAGGTAGATAACCTCATGTGGTCCCTTCCATCTCTGCTTTCCTATGATCCTGTAACTCAGTGACACCCAAATGCTGTCCTACGGAGACGATGTCTTGTGCTACTGCAATGTCTTGTTTCTTGCTTTGGGGGTGTTGGTGGCAACCATGCTGATCTAAGGACACTGGCAGACAAGGTTCTTTGGGTAAATGTGATATCTTTTATTAGACCAACTAAAGAGTTGGAAAAAGTGTTCTTTGCAAGCTTTCAGGTACAAACACCCTTCTTCAGGCAGAGGGAGAGTCTACAATTGTACTGTCTACAGTTGTACTGTATTACTCAATACAGCTATAGACTCTCCCTCTGTCTGAAGAAGGGTGTTTGTACCCAAAAGCTTGCAAAGAACAATTTTTCCAGCTCTTTAGTTGGTTTAATAAAAGATCACATTTTCCCAGAGAACCTTGTTTGCCTTGATTCTTGTTTTATATTTAGATCATAAGCTGCTTGGGGCAGCCTTTTGTTGTGCAGCTATACAGCACTTAGCGTGCTGGGGTCCTGGATCATGACTTGGACCCATAAATATTGTACCAGGACAAAAAATAAGTGTCTTACCCCACTCCATCTACACTAAACAGTTCTTTCCAGGTCAATACATGAACCTGGCCCTATTCTTATTAAAATCAAGGAGAAGTTTGCCACTCTTTTCAGAGGGCGACTGAACCAGGTTTCATGTGTCTCTTTTCTATACTAGCCCACACATTGCTATGCCACATGGTGTCTTTAGTAGAGCTGAACCAAACCAAAACCTACTATCCAAGCACCAGAAAGCTTGTGACTCGCATCTGAGCTTTGCCTCTGCCCACTAATGTTATACCGGGACCAACTAAAATTTCCAGAAGACCCCAAAACATTTGGCATCTGGTCTGTATTGCAGCTGACAAGACCAGCATATAATTTAGTGCATCATCCTAGACCACTGCTCTCCCTGCTTCATGCTGACATACCCATGTCCTTGGAGCCCAGGTTTCCTCTTACTTTATATGGTAGAAGTCAGGAGCTGCTTTACCCAAGTCAAGGGATTACTGGCCTTGAATGGCAGGTGAAAACAGAATCACACCCCTGGAACTAGAACTGGCTCCGAAGCAAGGTTGACTCTGGTAACTCAGAGAAAGGCCCTTTTTCCTCCCGGTTATTTTTCTCTCCATTTCCCTTACTGTCTCTCTCTTTCTGTCAGCCAGGAAGGCAGAAGGATGTTTACGGTGTGCCAGCCCGACGTCCCCCTGAACAGATCCTTCCACGAGGGCAAACAGGACCCCACGC